CCCTGCTTTGAATGGCTCTGAGCAGCTGGGAGGGGTAACTCACCCCCCACCCCCTAAACAGCTCAGAAGTGTCCAGGGCCCAGGCTGCAGACACAGGGGCTCTTTGAAATCCAACCTCCCCCTGGGCAATGCCCCCCAAGGGGAAACATCCTCCTCCCGTGACTGCTGTGCTGGAAGCATGTACAAGGAAAACATGCACGAACCCAGCTGGGCTGAGGGGACAACGGTGCCAGACCGGCCCAGGAGGGGTTGTTCTGGGGGCTCAGCCCTCCACCGCAGCATCATGAGTTGCCTTGGGGTCCCCAGGGCTGGGGTGTGACACTGCGGGGCAGTTTCGGGTACCATCGAGCAGCAAGTTTCTTTATGGGAGTGCTCAGCTCCAGAGGCTCTCCTCCACTGGTAAGAGAAGGGGCAGGGACCAGTCCTACACCCGCCTCTGGGGGGCTGCTCCAGCTCCCCTTTCACAACATGGAAGGAGGCAGGAGCAGAGCTTTCACCCTGCTCAAAGCATGCAGGAACCGCATCCTACTCAAAACTGGTCCCTGATGGAGCCTCTGCAGTCAGATGAGATTTTGGGGGAGCGAAGGCACCTCTGTTGAGAGGACAGGGACAGTTCACTGTTAGGACACCTGGTGAAACCAGTGCAAGAAGGTTTCAGCCTCAGAGGTTTAGTGGGTCCCCATCATTAGCAGGATCCATCCCCCAGGAGCCCATCCCTGCTGGAGCCATAGGGACTGAGCACTGGCAGGGTGCAAATGTTCCTCAGCTTGTTCAACCATGGCATGGAGACACTTGCTGCCTCACCAGCCACCAGTGCTGGCACAGGGACACCAGCACCACACCCAGGTGTGTCCAGCACCCTTTCTTCAGCTTCCCTGTTAGGATGTGACCATTCACCTTGAGCCAGGCACCCTCCAGGAGAGATTCCCTGCAGGATCTGGAGATATCCAGTGATGGGTCATGACCATTTCCTTGAGGACCCCACTTCAAAGTATTTGGAGAGTTCAAACCAGGGCCTTCTTTCCCTTTCCAGTTTGGCTGGGTTCAGCTCCAGCCCTCCACATGTATACCTCAGTGCTGAAACTCACCCAGCCTTTGGCATCGAGTACATCAGAAGGCGGCACTTAGCATTTGGAGAAAGTAATCTTCATCTTCATTTCTGCAAACCTAAAGAGGCTCAGGAGCATTGCCAGGCATCAAAGTAATTTTTCGGACTCTTCTTTGGACCTTCTCCAATCTTTCAAGGTCTGTTTTGACACAGCCTTACCCTTTACCAAGCAGAATCAGTGCTTTTGGAGGCCTGAATCCAGAGAACAGCTTTGGACATGGGGAAGCAGCTCGGAGCTCACCCAGCCATATCCTGGGTGAGAAGCTTGCAGTGGAGCAGCTGGGAATGGCTCCTTGGACAGGGCAAGCAGAGGAGAAGCCCAAATCCTGCTTTTACAGGATTTTCACCCACCAGATCAGTGGCAGGGGACAGCTTGGACTGACAGCCCCAAACAGAAATCCTGCCCCAATATCCTGAAGAAAAAGCTGATGAGAAGCTAGTGTCCCATGAGCATAGTGTTTCCTCGCTCCCACTCTTCCAGACCCTGATGGGAGGAGGATGGACATGTCCCTTGGCACAGTACCCTCAAAAGGGTCCCCAGGAGAAAAGACCCAAAAGGCACCATCGGAATTTGCCAGTGACTTCCAGTCCTTGGAAAGAAGGGACTTCTGGCTCTGGTAGTGTCTGAAGCCCTGGCAGAAATGGGTCCTGACCCCATGTTTCCCAGGTCTGCCCCATCTCACCAGCCAGCACAGAGCAGTCCTTGGCCATAAGACAACACTCTTGCTCCTTGGCTACACCAGGACCCCAGGATGGGGGGCTGCTCCCAGGGAGGCCATTGCCTCCCACATGGAGGGCAGGGGGCATCTTCCAAGCTGCCCCACATGCTGGGTGGGAGAGATAAATAAATACCAGAATAAATAAATACAAGTGGCAAAGAGGCCTGAAATGATGCTGTCGTTTGCTGGGAATGAGAGACACAAGTGTAATTTAGGTTTTGATATTATGAAAGTCTCGCTGCTCTAAAACAGCAGGGCACTCAGTGCCTCATTAATAAAGGATAAACTTGGAGTCTATTTACAATGCACTTTTTGGGGTTATTTACACTCCATTATACATATGTAATGCTGCACATATTTACCGCTCTGTTCTGCTGCCGAGAGCAGCTGAGTCGGGAGGGAGATGGAGTGGGAAGGGACTGATGCTGTGGAGCCGTGACCCCTGCTTTGACTGACGTCCTTTAAATGGCTCGAGAGGCAGGACAGCCCCAGCCGGCTGCTGAGGATAGAGAGGCTGGGACCGGGCACTGGGGACCCAGTATGGCCCAGTCCCTGTCCCCACGGACCCAGTGCCCAACCACCCCTGGAGGCCCCCAAGGCTTTGCCAAGTGATGCAGAGAGGGTGAGCTCCTCACCAAGTGACCCTGAGCACCAAACATGCAAGCTGTGGGCCCGTCACAGAGTGGACAACTGGAAAAAAGAGGGCTAAATTATTCGCAACAAAATAAATCATGCTTGCATTGGCATTAGAAGGTTTTGGCCACAGTCTTCCCCACTGCCTGGCATTTACCTCTTACCAGAGCAAAATATTGTAGTTTCCCTGCAAACCATAGTTCCCTGAGGATCTGCTGGCCTGGAAGTCCCCAACCCCATGGTGTTTGTGGGAGCTGCTGTGAGGGTCTTGAGTCATGCAACTGCCATGCCCATGGCTGTCCCAGATAACAGGGCAGCCCCCAACACAGCCCCCAGGATTCAGGGCAGAGATGTGTGAGAGGTCATGCTTCGAGAGCCCTTTGGGATCACAGCAATTCATGGGGTGCAGCAAAGGGATGTGGGTGCACCCAGGACCCCTTTGCCCTTGGCAGAGTTTGGGATGGTGCAAGGGTCCCACAGGAGCCCTCTCTGCAGGGCCAGCACCTGAGGCCACGCAGCGAGGGGCTTCCAGCAGGCTGTGGAGGGGCAGGGTGGCCTGACAGTCACCCCCCAGCTCTGAGCTGCTCCATGTCCCTTCTGCAACAACCTCTGGGTTTGCATCACCAACTCAGGGTGAGACGCAAGAGCCCGGGAGCCACCCCGACCACTCTTCCTAGGAAATGTGGGGCAACTTTGACCTTTCCAGCCAGGCACAGTGGGGAGGAGGACAAGCCCCTCCACCCCATCCTGCTCCTCCCTGGCACTGGGGGAGCACCCACCCATGCCAGCACACTCCAGCTTGCTGCCGTCCCAGGCTGTGCTTGCCAAATGATGGCATTAGAGGCAATGCTTTTTATTAAACACCTCCTGTGGGCAGCTCTTGGCAAGTCCACATACCCAAGAGTGATGTGAAGCCCCTGCCCCCAGGAGGTTCCCTTGTCTCTGGGAGGGCATCTCTTCCAGCACAGGGGCAATGCGCAGCGGTCAGTGTAATCCTGGTGCATCAACAGGGCTCATCCTGGCCACAGGCTGCGGCATGGTGAGATGTCCTGGGAGATCCAGAGCTGAACAAGTCCGAGCAAATTGGCCCCCACTTCTCTCTCCAGCCCTGAGTCTCCTCCACCATCCCTGTCCCCCCCAGCCCACTCAGGTCAGGGCAGGCTGGATCCCAAGCCCTCCTGGGAGCTGCTCTCCAAGGCCCCGTAGCCATTGAGCTTCATCATCCCGATGAGGTGGGCTGAGATGGAGTGGAAGGAGTGGCGAGTGGCAAAGATGTGGCTGATCTCCATGAAGGTTTTGTTCTTGGTCTCAGGGATGACGAGGTAGACATACAGGGCCACCAGCAGGCAGACGCCACAGAAAACCAGGTAGCAAAAGGCACCGGCTGATATCTGGGGACAAGAGAGCAGGGACGGGGCAGAGAGACGGGCACCCCCAAGCTGGGCATGGCACAAGGCAGCATCCTCTCCCATCACCCCTCCCAGGCTGGCTCTGGCCAGCACTGAGCCAAACCAGGAGCATGGCCATCCCTTGGGTTAAGCCTGGCTTGGCACCCCATCCTGTGGGAGCAGCAGGGCCATGTCCATCCCCTCCTCTTCCCACGGCCCCTTTGGACTGGTACCTGCAAGAAGGGGAAGATGAAGCCGATGGTGAAGTTGCAGAGCCAGTTGAGGGATCCCCCCACGATGTAGGCAGCAGGGCGGTGAGACTGCGTGAAGAGCTCAGCTGTCATCAGGAAGGGGACACCGGCTGCAGAGGGAGGGGACAGATGGAGGGTAGGGGGGACAGGCTGCCTCAGGGACTCCTGGGGTCGACAGGTCCTGCCCATCTCAGTCCTGTGGCCCAAGGGCTGGAGCCCAGCAAGACCCACAGGTCAAAGTGGTCATGCTGGGAGGGCTGGAGGGGATGGGGAGCGCGGGGATAGGTGGATCAGTGTCCTGCCCTTGGTGCCCCTTTGGGACCCATCTCGGTGGGTGGGTGATGTCCCCCCTGACATAACCCAGTTGCACCTTGCTGGGTGCTGAGACCAGTTTCACAAGTCACTTGACTGGAAAGTTTCAGGCAGAGTTAAAATCAAGGTGGAACATTTCATCTGGATCCTCGTTTTGCAATAACTTGCCTAAATGCTGATATATTAAATCTCATATAGATCACAGGCACAGAGAAACGTGTTCTGGATGCCCTCCATAACGCCCTTTCCAGCCTCCCTTGATCAAAACAGTTTAGAAAATTTCCTTCTATTGATTAGCTTCTGTCGATGATGTAGCTGATTTAGGCAGGAAAGAAGCAACCACATTTCCAAGTATCAGAATTTCCCGCAGGACACAGAAATGTCATTTTCCAACCGACTCTTCCCATGTACAGCGAAAAAACCCAGAATGACTGGAAATGATTGCACAAGCCAACTTGGCCACTAAAAATGGGACACAGGTTGTGGGTGCTTCTCCCAGAAGGACTCAGCCCCTCCTGCCGCGTGTCACTGAGCCGGCAGTCCTGGGTCCCAGGACCGTCCCTTTGCTAGAGAGCGGGATCCGAGGTCCAGCAGGCATCCCAGGGCACACAGGGGTCTGGCAGGGGACTGTATTTGATGTGGTGACATGCCTGGGGTCTCACTGCCTGCACTGCCTGGGAGAGGGCTGACTGAGTCCTCTTTATAAAAGAATCTCCAAGGGAAAAGATAAACCGAAAAAAGGTGCTAAGAAGTGAGGGAGGAGCGGAGCCCCTGATGGACTCTTACTCACAGCTCGCCCAGAACAGAGATATGTATTTTTTTGTTTTAAAACTCCTATTCATCATTGTTTGTGAACAATGAGCCATTGAAATCCTAATTAAAGATGTAATTACAGTGAATAAAGTCTGGGCTGAGGATGAATTATAGATCTGTTAACAGCTCTGCTAATACATCAACTGGGTAAACCGGTCCAGGTTTCCCTCCTCACTGTTGGAGCCCGCTCTCGCACCCGTGTGCTCGGTTAGGGACAGGGCGATGCTGAGCAGCCGCGCGGTGATGGGAGTGGGTGACACCTCCAGAGAGGTCTGGGGAAGGCTGCCAGGGATTTCTCCCCACTTGGCCTAGGAGCAGGGATGAGGAGGAGGAGGTGGATCATGCTCCAGGGACGCGTGGGGTTGAAGGGGTTTGTGGTGGGGTCTCGCTCACGGGGTGCAGCATGATAAACCAGGGCCTGGCCATGGGGAAGGGGCCAAGGCACCGGTCCTGCCTCCTGCCTGCAGACCCTGCTGCTCCATGCTGTTTTGGGGCCCCCATTCCCACCCCACTGCCCCCCGCTCCCGTTGGCCCCAGACCCACCTGGTCCCATGCAGAAGCCGGCGATGATGCCGACCACACAAGCGACGGCGACGTAGCGCATCCAGGGCAGGGTGGTCTGCGAGGGGACATGGAGCTGGGTGACGCTGCTGGGGTGGTGGCCCAGCGTCCCTGGGATGGGGCTTCACACCTGCCCCTTTCCTTAGTGGCGGCCCTTGGGGATGGTGGCCATGCAGCACACACGGGGGAGATGCAGACAAGAAATGGGTGGTTTGGAGCAAAGCTGGTGAGGGTCAGCCTTGGCAAAATTCAGCAACTCGTGATGCTGAGATGTCCCCAGAGCTGCGGGAGCGTCTCCTGGAGCAGGCATCAGAGGAAGGACTCTGCAGACCTCTCCACCTCCCCTGGGGACAACTATTTCTGCAGAAAAGCTACCAGAAGTGGCAGGGTTTTTTTCATGTGGATTTGGGCTTGCTTTTTGTTGTTCTTTTTTCTGAATTTTTCTTCCCTTTTAACATTGAAGGGAAAACATTGCTTGGAAGAGCCAGCTCACCTCTCATTTCCATGGATGCTCCCTCCCCTGGGGTGATACCCAGCCCTTCCT